AATATTAATTATGAATGACACATTTAAAAGAAAAACATTTTTATCATGTCATTGTTCTTGATTTTTGTCATCAACCAAACCTTAGTGTTTCCTATACATTTGGCTTTTCGACTCAGTTGAACCATCTGCAAACAAACAGTTTTTCAAAATTAAAATTTTTGGAAATTTTCAAACAAGCACTTAATTAAGAAAATGGTTTAAATATCACAGATATTGTGTGGGCTTCAGTTTTGGTCATCCTTGCATTCCATCCATGCAGAGAACTTTGGAATGTTCTCAGGTCATTAAAATAGGGATGGTGTTGTGGAAAACTTACCTTAGCTATAAAAACTTCACTTAATCACCAGTTTGCATCAAGATGTGCTAAGCAAACAATAGGGTTCGCTTTGTCACGCATGAGAACCAATGTGTGTTAAGCGCATATGAGTGCATTCTTCAATCTAGCCATGTTTTGAATGATGTTAAAACTAGGAGTATGACTTAGATTTTTTGTATATTGGACGGTATCAACCTAAGTTTATATGTGCATTGATCATTTTAGCCTTAGGATGCATACAAATGATTTTAAAAAGTCTTAGACATGTCATACACATCAAAAACCAAGTTATATGTGTAAACACATTTGCATATGTCGGCCTATACGAGCTCAGATCGACCTATAGAAGCTTTTACTTCAATACAGATTTGCACATAGAATTACAAGTTAGCTCTCATGCATCAATATTAAAGCATGTAGGCTCTGCCCACATTAGTTTAGTATGTTAACGGGTAATTGTTAAAAATCCCATTAGTTTAGTATGTTAAGTTTTATTATAAATAACATACTAGTCTCTCATCTTAAAGGGTGGTGTGACAAAACCTAATTAGGGTGAGAGGGTTATTTGTTATTCTTGAGTACTTGTAATCTGTTTTATATAGAAAGTAAAGAATAGTAGTTATAACCAATCTTTATTGTTCTTCTTGTTTTTCCTTAACCCAAATCCTTGTGTGTTTCTTGATCATAAAGAAACCGAGTATATTTTATTTTAAGGCATCCTAATTCACAATAAATTGGTGCGGTGAGTGTGGAGGAAGATGCCTTCAACAAAGTATGAGATTGAAAAGTTCACTAGAGTGGATGACATTGGTTTGTGGCGCTTGAAGATGAAATCCCTACTGGTTCAACAGGGTTGTTTGGAAGCGTTAAAGGGAGAGGCAGTCATGGACGTTACGTTAACAGGAAATGAAAAAATTGCCATGATAGAGAAAGCCCAGTGCACAATATTGTTGAGCCTTGATGATAGGGTTCTTTAACAGGTATCAAAGAAGACTACGACATCGAGGTTATGGTTGAAACTTGAGAGTTTGTACATGACCAAATCTCTGGTGAATCGACTCTACCTGAAGCAAGCTTTATAGTCATTCAAGATGAGTGAAGACAAAGTGTTGGTTGAGCAGTTAGATATGTTCAACAAGCTGTTTCTTGATCTTGAAAATATTGATGTGCAGATCTATGGTGAAGATCAAGCATTATCGTTGTTGTGTACTTTGCCCAAAACACATGCTCACTTCAAAGAAACTCTCTTGTATGGAAGAGAGTCTCTGAGCTTTGAAGAATTTCAATCAGCCTTGTATTCTAAGGACATGAACAAACAAAAGGAGCATAAACCTTCGACGATTGGTGAAGGTTTCGCCGTTAAGAGAATATTCTTGTGAAAGGATGGTAAGTTCGACAAGAAGAAAGGTAAAAGTCAGCAGAAGTCTTATAGTGCGAAACATCTGGTATTCGATGCTATCATTGTAAGAAGGGGATCACACAAGAAAGATGTACCCTGAACGCCTGAAAGATCATGAAGGTAAAGGTAATGACAACATTATGATCATACTCTATGGATAAGTTCAAGTGCTAAAAGTTTCAACTGATCATAATGTTGTTGATATGATCACCAAGAAGTTGCCCAATTTCAAGATTTTCCATTGTATGTAGTCGATAAAGCTGCATGAAGAAAGCTAGTTTGTTTCTTGATGGTAGAGTTAGATCCAAGGTAGAGATTTATGAGATATTGGATCGAACTCTAGTTAGCATGTCGTCGAAGTTTGCTCACATGCTGTTGTCAAAGACCTACATGCTATAGTCGAATTGTGCTCTAGTATGTAGTTGTCGAATTGAGCCTTGTGTTAAGGATCCAATTGTTTAAGTTAGCTTATACCCTAAGTTAGCTTGTAGTGGGTAATTGTTAAAATGCTCATTAGTTTTGTATGTTAGGTTTTATTATAAATAACTTATTAGTCTCTCATCTTAAAGGATGGTGTGATAAAACCTAATTAGTGTGAGATGGTTATTTGTTATTCTTAAGTACTTGTAATCTATTTTATAGAGAAAGTAAAGAATAACAGTTATAACCAATCCTTATTGTTCTTCTTATTTTTCCTTAACCCTAACCCTTGTGTGTTTCTTGATCATAAAGAAACCAAGTATATTTTGTTTTAAGGCATCCTAATTGACAACACATCACTTTTCTGTGAAGGTACTCTAGATTAAATCTTCAGTGCTAGATCAGTTTTGTAGGACCGTTTGACCAAATATTTTAAAAACTGGACGGAATCGGCTGGTTCAACTGGTTGGACCGAGAACCGAAGATAAATCTGGTTAGGTCAATCTTTCAAAACCGCTAGTGGGTCAAAACCGGAAAAACAGGATTGAACCGTCCAAAATCATTCGAACTAAAGAACTGGAGCCGATTTTGTAAAACCGTTCGGTTCAAAAAAATTCATCAAATTGATCATTTTTTTTAATATATTAATATCAAAACTTAACATACATTTCTCAATCACAAAAAAGAATTTCGCGTGTTTTTTACAACCATACAAACTTCTAGGTTTTGTCACTTTATTATAATTTTTCTTTCAACCACAGTCCATCATCATCATCATCATCATCATGTTGTCTCTTTCAAACATAGTCACGATGTTCAACTCTATTGATTATCGTTCAAGTCTATATTGTTTGTTGTTGTCAATTAAGACTTATTTGTCGTAGTTCAACTCAAATTTGATTTTTTTGTTGTTTGATGAAGTATATTGTATTATTTATATTTTGGTACTCTATCCTATTTAATTTAGGTATTCTTAATTATTTGAACTTTATTTTAGTTATTATGTTCTATTATTGTAATTTTAGTTTGAACTAGTTTAATTTATTTTATTATAATTTTTTAATTTTGTCAAAATATTTTTAAATGATGGTTGAAATGAAGTATAAAACTATGTTATGTTATGTATTATTGATAATGTTGTATTAAGTTTGTAATGGATTTTTAAAATATTTATTTTATTAATTTGAGAACATATAATAATATTATATGTGACATATATATGAAATGAGTTTTATATTATTACTTTATTTAATAAATGGTTCGACCGTAGGTTAAACCGGTTTAATCAATTGAACCTTAAACCATAAATTTGACCGGTTTGATCTCCAGTCCGATTTTTAAAACGATAGTTTGACCAACCCTATATATATATATATATATATATATATATATATATATATATATATATATATATATATATATATATATATATATATATATATATATATATATATATATATATATATATATATATATATATATATATATATATATATATATATATATATATATATATATATATATATATATATATATATATATATATATATATATATATATATATATATATATATATATATATATATATATATATATATATATATATATATATATATATATATAATTCATCATTCAAACAAAATTGGTTAAAATTTGTATTTAAACAATGTGATAAACTTGAGCCATAAAAAGTAAATTAATTCGTCCATGTTTTTATATTGCCAATCTAAAAGCTTTATATATCAATCACGTGAATGTATAAAACTTTATTCAACAATTATGTTTTGAAACTTTAAAAGGTAAATCTTATAGAGAAATCAAAACACCAAAAACATAATAGTCTTATTTTCTTACACCATAAGTTCTCCGTTTTATCCAGTTATGTAGCTAACGTGAATTTGTTACAGATTGAATGCATCTCTTGCCAACTTTTCAGTATAATTTTTTGAGACGTAAACCAAAGAATATTGAAGAATTCTAGTTTTATGGATTTGTCTCGTAACAAAGATGTTAAAAAACGTAACTCTTGTTAAGTTGCTTGTAACAGCAAAACAATGGCTTCTAATCAAAAAGTGATTGTAAAAAAGCGATTGTGTGTTTAACTTCTTGTTGCTGTCACCATCAAATCTTCTTATCTATGTGACGTCAAATGCGCCTTGTCAGAATCTCACTCTTCATGAATTTTCCTTACTTAAACTTTTCAAGTTTTCCACATCCTTGTCATCTTTAATATATATATATATATATATATATATATATATATATATATATATATATATATATATATATATATATATATATATATATATATATATATATATATATATATATATATATATATATATATATATATTAGAAATATATTTTATTATTAGTAAATTTTGGATGTCGATTGGAGAATCAATTAACAAAAGGATAAAAATATTATATAATGGACTAATTATATTATATGCATGAATCATATCCAACTACCTATTTTTCTTAAAATGTTGAAATAATATTAAGAACAGTAAAGAAGACTTAAAGTTGAACTATATTGGAGGAAAAAGCATGTGACAAAAAGGTGTGGAAAATGTTTCCACTCTCACATAGAAAATCATTGTAAAGTTTTGTAATTTAGTGAAAAAGCTAGGGTTATTTTTTTAATCCTTATAACTTTTTATTATTATTAGGACAAGTATCAAAAACGAGTCCACATACATCTTACATGATGTGCACACATTATATATTGCCATTGGTTTTTGCCATATATATAATGAGAAGTGTGACATTAACTCTAAACCAACATTTATATAAAGAGAGAAGAAGAAGAAGAAGAATAGAATTATATAACAAACTATATAGCTACTTAGGAGAAACACAAAGATGGAATGGAGAAAATGCTATTTGGATGTGATTTTGGTTCCTTTGAGTTTTCTAATTAGCATTGGTTATCATTTATGGCTTTGGCATAAGGTTAGAACTCAACCACATACAACCATTGTTGGAATCAATGCTAGTGGAAGAAGAAATTGGGTTAATGCTATGATGAAGGTACTTGTATATTTTTCTCATCATTATGAATCATCATAATCTTTTATAGTATATTAAACTTTTGATCAATATTGTGTGAAACAATAATTATTTAAAGAAATTTATTTTTTAATATTATATATATAATATACATACATATGATAAGTGTTATGTGCAGTTTTTCATATTTTTTACTTGTAAACTTTTGCAAAGGATTAATTATAATTGATCTTTAATCTTAATTAATAGTGATTGAATTTGCCAATGAGAATTTTTTTGGAGAATAAGAATAATTAAAGAGTGTTTATACCATAAATATATTGTGAATATTCCATTTATATTTCTTAGCATTTAGGTTTTGTTAAATTATTCTTGTTCTGGCAAGAATAAAATGTTATTCTAACAACCAAACACAAAAGAAAGCAAAATCGAATGTTCTTTCTAAATGATATAATTAGGTGAATATTTGATCATTCTAGTGGGTTGTTGCTAGAACAAGATAATGTGTGTGTACAAATCCACTAACTTATGTAATAATAATTTAAGGATAAATTCTTAGATTTTGTGCTGTAAACTGTTTATATAAAGTTCTTTAATTTAAATATTGTGATCTCTACCAATGGCATATCAACACATCTTCTTAAACCACTTTATCTAGCCATATATAGTTTTCAATCCCTCTTTTTATAATTGTAAGTAAACACAAATTATAAACTAGTTATTATATAATATATTTTAAAACTAAAACTAAAATAAAAAAGATTTAAAATGTGTTCACACATAAATTTTAAGAGATGTGATAATATGTATTAAAAAAATTTATGCATTCACACAGTTAAGATATCAGTAATTTTTCATCAAAATCAAATTATGTTAGTTAAATAACTATTTAGAGTTTTTTTTTCTTTTTTTTAATTTATGCAATTGAGAGATCAGTAATTATTTAATCAAAATTAAAATATACAAATTAAATTCTAGTATTTAAATTATTAAATTATAAAATAAAAATTACGATCTACGACCTTTTTAATCGATCTAATTGTGATCGAACAAAATACGTAAACGCGGAATCTTCTCGTAGCAAAAAAAAACTCAACCTCATATTATTAAAATTATTGTGTATAAAAAAATATATTATGTATGTTATTTTATTTAAAAATATTTTTTTAAAAGTCTAAATACATGTAATTAAGATGTGTTGATTTGTGACAGGACAATGAAAAGAAAAACATCCTGGCTGTTCAATCACTAAGGAACACAATAATGGGAGCAACCTTAATGGCCACAACCTCAATTCTACTATGTTCAGGTCTAGCAGCAGTTATAAGCAGCACATACAGTGTGAAGAAACCACTCAATGATGCAATATATGGAGCACATGGAGAATTCATGGTAGCACTAAAATATGTCACACTCCTCACAATTTTCCTCTTCTCATTCTTCTGTCACTCTCTTGCAATAAGGTTCATAAATCAAGTCAATATTTTAATCAACACACCGCAAGATCCTATGTCCCTTGTTACACCGGAATATATTTTTGAGATTTTGGAGAAAGGTTTCATTTTGAATGCCGTTGGTAATAGGCTTTTCTATGCTGGTCTTCCTATGTTGCTTTGGATTTTTGGTCCAGTTTTGGTTTTTCTTTGCTCTCTCACTATGGTTCCGGTGCTTTATAATCTTGATTTTGTGTATCCTACTAAGAAGGGAAACATGAATGTGGATCGGAAGGAGGATTTTGTTTGAATATTTGTAATAATAATAATAATATGGTTGATTAAATATATATGATGTAATAGTATTATAAACTTATATATATTAAGAAAAAATGAAGAGACCCTATATGTGTTTTTTTTCATGTTGTTGTTATTGAATTGGTATTAGTCAACATTTTTAATGAATTAAAGTTTTGTTAATTCAATGATATTCACTATGCATGGTGAAGTGATAAGATGATATTATAATTATTTGATTTTAAAAGATATAGGTTTTCTGAAAAGTTTATGGCACTTGCAAGAAAAAAAATCGAAACAGTTTTTTATTTTTTTTATTTTCTTATATAAGCCATAAGAGATATTATATCACTTATAGACTAATTTAGTAGTGGATTGTTGACCTAGTTTTTGTTTAGATGGCATTCATAAGTATTTATTTCATTTTGCTTTTATGTACTTTTAGGTACTAGTTTTATGAATTAGTGGATTTCCTATAATTTTCTCCCATGATCTCTTTTTGTTTCAATACTATATTATATTTTTTTAAAAATTGTGATCTTTCATTTTAATGTCTTTAACATTTAATCCTACACCTAAAAAACATATTTTTTAATAGGAAGTGACATCGATTAAATATATAACTGATGTAAAAATAAAATGTGGTGATCTTTTTAAAATTTTGAGTAACATCTAAATGATTTTTCATCGGTAGAATATTTGACCGGTTGATAGAAAAAGAATATTTTATTTTTATTTTAAAAACTTAAGAATTTAAGATATTCCATTGGTAAATATTCGATTGAAATGAAAGATATTTTATTTTTATTTAAAAACTTGAGGGTTTGAGATATCCCATTAGTGGGATATTAGATTGAAATGAAAAATATTTTATTTTTATTTAAAAAATTGAGATATCACATCGATATAATATTCAGTAGATAGGAAAACTCCTTTCGCGTCAATATTTTTCTTCCCTTCTCTTAAAAATATCATATTTTATAACATAACAAAAAACACCTTCTCTTGACTGTGTTACACCTTCTCTCGACTGTCATACATCTTCTCACAATTTCCATAGTAATTCTTTCGAAATCATACAACTGACACTAGTTCCCTTTATCATCAAACGTTGCCATTGCACTGCAATACCATTCTCACTACTACAAATAACACATCTTACTTCGGACGTAAAAATGACTTTTACCTCGATTACACACCTGAGATAACGAAGGGCGTCATAAAAACTAGCCACTTTACTCCTCGGTTATTAAAAAACCGAGGTTATAACAGAAAAGGTCATTGGTTCGATCTCTAGCAACAACATATTTTTATTTTCAAAAAGGTGAAGCGCGCGCCACTTTACCTCTATGTTTTATTTAAAATTTGAGAGAATAAATTATGTTGGTATATCGATTTTATTTAATAATCGAGGGGTTAAATCTTATCTATTCCCATATATAATTTGTTTTAAAGCTCATTTTGTCTGGCATGCATCATTTTTTAACAGAACTAGAGTCAGATTATTTTTAATGCACAAATTTACATTGTTCTCATAAATATAAAATACAAGATTTACATTGTTTTCAAAGCAAATGTACAAACTTACATTGTTCTCATCAACACATTATACAAGATTTACATTGTAGTTCAAAATCAAATGTAAAAATTTATATTGTTCTCATCAACACATAATACAAAATTTACATATTTGCAAAATCAAGAAAAAACTATTTTTGTTGAGGTTCATAACAAGATAAGAAGACACCGGCCCAACATGATCGGATGTCATCTATATCTTCTTCTGAATATGGTGATCAATCGCTAAGCTCCTATAATTAGAACAAAATTTGAACTGTGATAAGCTAACAACAACAACATTAACTTAAGAAATATACATAAATTACATGTATATGGATTAAGCTAATGCCTTATGCTTAGTCCACCCATTTGTAATGCCTTCAGAGATAATATAAAACATTTGTCTCATAATAAAGTATCCACAAGAATAAATGTTGGGTTGTTTTCGCCACGAAAAATAATTTTCATACATTTATATCACTAATACATACAAATAAAAGAATGTCAAAAAACACAAATAATATACGTAATTTTGGGTAATAAAACCTTGACTTTTTACCAAGTATATTACGTTTGATTGTATTGTATTTCTCCACTGCTCTACAGATGTCGGTTAAAATAAAAACTATTCAAAACTAAATGTAGCATTTGAATATGAAAAATTATATCACTTACCCACTCAAAGCATTAATCATAACTTCTTCAAGTTTCTTGTGCAACGAGCAAAACACAACTATAATATTTTGCTTCAGACATATAATTATTAATTGCTAATGATTGCCGTATAAAGATTCAAAATAGTTAATAATATATATATATAATTGATTTATAAATGAAAATACAAATTAATACTTACGGACTGAAAAATGACATTCATAAGTATTTATTTTATTTTTCTTTTATGTACTTCTAGGTACTAGTTTTATGAAATCATATTAGTGGATTTCCTATACATTTTCTTCCATGATCTCATCTTGTTTCAATACTATATTTTTTTTATTTTTAAATTTGATCTTTCATTTTAATGTCTTTAACATTTAGCACTACACCTAAAAAAAACACATTTTCTAATAAGATGTGACATCGATTAAATATATAACTGATGTAAAACCAAAATGTGGTGATCTTTTTAAAATTTTGAGTAACATCTAAATGATTTTTCATCGATGGAATATTTGACCGATCGATAGAAAAAAAAATATTTTATTTTTATTTTAAAAATTTGAGGGTTTGAGATATCTCGTTAGTGGGATATTGGATTAAAATGAAAGATGTTTTATTTTTATTTAAAAATTGAGGGTTTGTGATATCCCATCGATAGAATATTCAACACATAAGAAAACTACCTTTGTGCTTACACTTTTCTTCCTTCCCCCTAAAACAAACATATTTTATAACACAATAAAAAACACCCTCTCTCGGTTGTGATACACCTTCTCGACTGACGTACACCTTCTCACGATTTCGATAGTCATTCTCTCAAAATCGTAAAACTTGTGTCGCCATTGCATTACATTCTCTCGAAACCGTACAACTGACGTTAGTTCCCTTTATCACCGCATGTTGCTACTGCACTGCGATATCATTCTCTCAAAACAATATAACTGACATCAATCTCCTTCATCACTGCACGCTAACATTCCTTTTGTACATCGTCTCATTGATAACGCATTTTCCGTCGAAGTCACACTTACGCAATTTCACACTTCTACCTTATCAAATATCGATAATATCTTACACTTTAACTCTATCTTTCTCTCTACTTCATGCTCACTTGATCTTACATGAAATCTACTTTCTTTTTTTTCTCTTTGATTTTAGGCCTTTCTTTTTCACTTATTTCTAAATCTTTCCTTGTCAAGATTATTTCTTTTTGTGTTTGAAATTAGTATCACCAAATCCCTAATCTTGGATATCATTTATTTTTTTATCCCCACTAATTTTTCTATGCCATGCATATCTTCTGTTTTAATGAATGTTACATACATTGATTTTCTAGTTTGAAATGATTCAGTATACTTTGTTTTTTCTTTTGTATGTCGCCTACCAAACTAACTTTTATGTGTGATTAAAGTAGAATTATATAGAAGAGATTGGTACGAATGATATAGATTTAATCATTACCCAAATTTTTTATAACACAAATTGTTATACATGGAGATATCTAAAGTTTTTATAACATAAACATGTAGTTATAGATTGTATTTATAGATGATCACAAGTTAACATAAAACAACTTAAACTTAATGTAGTTTGTGTCTATTTTTAGAAAGCAGTTATGGATCTTAGTTATATGATAGCTAATAGATTAAATGCGGAGTATGTAAATAGAGTGGTTGAATTTCTACAATTCACTGAAATCTTCCTAAAATTTATATTTGTTGCGCGGATTTAAAATACCATGGAATGAAAGAAATATTAAATCATCAAGTTATGTAGGGATTTGTCAAAACTATATGAAATGGATAATGACAAAAATTATATATGTGTCGTATAGAGAGAGGAAGTTGTTGTAGATATGGATGATTGAGTAGAAGATATTATTTGTGATATTGGAGGAGATTCATTTGAGAGAGCCCTTGTATATGATATTTTATGTAGTGGCAATTAAGAGTCGTTGTATCCAGGGTGCACAAATTTTACACGAATGTTTATAGTGTTAATATTGTTTAATCTAAAGGCAAAAAAAGGTTGGAAGGATAAAAGTTTCACACAATTGTTTGAGTTGTTGAAAAAATGATTCCCGAAGATAACATGTTGCAGAACTGTAACTATGAGACCAATAAGATATTTTGTCCAATGGTATGGACTATATCAAAATATAGACATGTCGTAATGATTGCATATTATATAAAAAAAGAGTATAAAAACTAAATAAGTTCCCAAAGTGCGATGTGTCATGCTACGAGTTGAATGACAGTGATATTGATGATGATGATGATGATGATGATGATGTAAGCACAATGGTTCCTTCTGTCAAGGTGGTATAGTACCTACCATTAGTTCCAAGGTTCAAAGATTGTTTGATAATGTAAATGACACAAATAATATTGGATGACATGCATATGAGAGAATGAAATGGATAATTATACTTGCTAAAAGTAAAATACATGAAAACCACTTGGATTGTATGGTTGTAAGAGGTTTTTAGGGTTATTGTGGTGTTAGATAAAGCTCACACGAGGATGGTGAAAAGATTTGTATGCTGGTATTTTCTGGGTGAAATTGAATGTACGGAGGGATTACTCACGCATATTGGTGAAAAGCTCTACATTTAAGTTTCTGTGAGAGAATTGGTTCCCCTTCTCAGTTCTAAGGTTGAGGTATTTATAGAGCTTCTAGATGCTGGAAAGGAGAGGAAATCAAATCCACTTCCTCCATCTTTCCCCTTAATTATCTCAGTGAGGAATAGTTCCCTCTCCACTAATAGGGATGATAGTTTGGCCACCTTGC